ACACAAGAGCAGGAACCCACTGGTGGCCTCTTCCGCAGGACAGCACAGGTACCTGCAGCCATCCCCATCTGGGCTGGGCCTGCTGTCACTGCTCAGCCAAGCGCCATGCTTGGAGCACTCCATGGAAAAGCCTTGGCTTCTTGCCCTTCTCCTACAGCTGGTTTACAAATTCATCAAGAGAATCCATGAGGATGAGACCATGGTCACTGCAGTCAGACCATACTCGCTCATTTTCAAATCCAACACCAGTGCTGCCCTGCTGGATATGCTTGTAGAAGAGGGTTTTTCCAATCCAAAGCAAGTAAGCAGCCTGTGGCCAGGGCTTGATCCTCCCAGGAATTGCTGGGCCTTCCAAGCCACTGGGGCCTGCTGGTCCCTGTAAGACCAGTGCAGTGTGGTGGGAGGGGAAACACTTCTCTGGGGAAGCTGGGGACATTACTCCCTCTGGCAGCTTTGCAAGTCCCCCTGTGCCTCCTGCAGGTGCCTGGCATGGTGAAGTACATCCACCAGTGGCTCATGTCAAATCAGTTTGCTGAGCACAGGCTGCACAGGACCCTGCTGGATCTCACTGAGGCACAGCCTGCTGATGTAGTGATGACACTCCTGCGTGTGGCCCCATCGTGTGACAGGTATGGGGCCCACCAGCCCAGAGGGCGCAGGGCTCACCAGCCCATCACCCTGTACAGCCTGTTCCAGGTGTCTGAGCAACAGAGAGTTCCCGGGCCCTCTGGCTGCTCGCTTTCCCAGCCCTGGCATGTCAGCCCCTGAGCCTGCTGCCATGCTCCCTCCCTGCCCCTCAGGGGCCTGTCCCCACAGGGCTGGGCTGCCTGGGTGCCACCAGCGAGGGGCAGTGGGCAGAGGCGGAGCTGACAGCCAGCTCAGCTCCCCACTGCTGACCAGGCCACGGTTCTGTGTCTGAGACTGCCCTGAGACAGAGGTCTGACCCCACAGAGCTGCTATGACCATGTGGAAGACGATCTTGTGTTCGCCCAGGACTGCGGAGCTGGCACAGCTGAGACTCCTCGATGTGCTGGGGAACTGGCCAGAGCACAGCACATGCACCTCTGATGGGGACAGAACGGGTGTCTTTGCCCTGGCTGTGAGTTTCTGGAAGTGGCCTTTGCTCACCCCAAGGCCGCCTCTCCAGCAGCTCTCCACCCTCCTTTCCCCACTGCATCTCCCTGCCTCAGGCACTGCGCTGAATCCTGGCCTAGGGGCACCTTCAGGGGCACCAGGCCCGGTGCTCCCCCTGCATCTCCCCTGGCCTCTCCGTGCCACGCTCGGGCCCTGCCGCACCGACACCTGGGCACTGAGCGCTGTCTCGTGGTGCTTTGTCCTTTGCAGGCAACTCTGGTGATGTGGAAGATCCTCCAGGTGCCCTGTGTCCCACATGCAGTGATGATGCATTTTCCCCGCCTATTTGTGCATCTGCTCTTCCAAGTGTTCTTCAGCACTCTGGATAAACCAGAGGAGGTTGATAATTTCTGGAAGGGATGCCAGGAAGAGCACGGCCTTGCCGCCAGCGCCAACAGGTTCTTCATGCCAGTCCTTCTGTCCCTGACACATCCCCAGAGAAGGAGCCAGTGCTCCCAGCGTGACCTGAGCTTTGCTCTGCACACAGATTTGCAGTGCAGACCCTGAAGTTGCTGCTCTGCCAAAGGCAGTATGAGGGTGTGGTGACGGCAATGGAGAGCAAACACGGCTGGGACATGCTGCTGGGTGCTGACACCCACCTTTATGCTGTGGGTCTGCTGGCCAGGTGAGATCCCCTTCTCCTCTCTGCCCTCGGCATTTGTGCTCTGTGCTCCACTCAGTCCCCGTGGACGTGGGCCAGAGGGCCTTGTCACTGAGGGATGGCCAAGAGGACTGGAAAAGACTGGGAGAGGAGAGGAGAGGAGAGTGCCCACAAGGAGCCACCTCCCAAATGGCCCAGGCCCCCTTGCATGATGGTGGGAAAAGACCAGACCTTTGGGAGTCAGTCCTTGGAGAGGTTTGTCCCCCTGGCTCACAGTCTTGCCTACTTTTACTCCTGCCAGGGAGATGTGCCGTGTCTCCCTACCCTTGTGTTCCCAGATCTTTCGTTACCTACTCCAGCTTCTCAGCACACAGGAGCCACGCTGGGATCTGCCTGCCATGGCATTCCTTGTGGAGGTGAGCCTGATGGCCAGCGCTGCCTGGCTGAGCTGCCTGCCTGCTCTCTGTCCTCTCATCGCCACAGCTGCCTGGGATGGTGCCCGTGCCCAGTTCTGCTGTTTGGGCCCAGCCCTGTGTGGTTCTGGGCTCCTGCCAGCCGGGTCCCCTGTCACTGCTCTGTACCTTTCAGATCCTGGAGTGCCTGGACTTGAGTGAACGCAGTGGCAACAGAATCCTGCAAATCTTGCCACGGCAACTGCGGAGTGAGTGCAGGGACAGGCAACGCCTGGCACTCAGGGCTCTTCTCGAGCTCACTGACAATCCCTCACTGGTGAGAACGGGGCAGCAGCTGAAGCTGAACTGGGCAATGCAGCCCCTTGGACATGGCTGGGCTTCGGGTGCTGGGGCAGCTGGTCCCAGCTCTCCTGCTTCCCAGTTCAGCGGCGCGAGTGCTTTGGGACAGGCCTTTGGCCTCCAGGGCAGCAGGGTGGCGTTTAACAGACTTGTGTTCTGCACAGACCAAAAAAATGTGCAAACTGACCGAAAGACTTGTGGAGCTCCTGCGGGACAGAGATGGAGAAATAGTTACAATGACAGTCATGGTACTCAGCTTTATCGTGTTGGAGAAGGACATGCTGATACCCAGCCCCATCGCCCTGCAGCTGGCTGAGTCCCTCCTGCCACTCTTTGACCACGTAAGGCTTTGCGCCCCCAGCCACAGCCACTGGCAGCAGCTGGGACACTTTGTGCCCTGTGAATTTGCAGGCTAGCAGTCAGCTGAGCCCCGTGCAGCCACTGCTGAAATGTTCTCTTTCTTCCTTTCATACAGGAGAATAGCCACGTGCGGCTGGTGTCCATATTGCTCTTCCGAACGTTGGTGACTCTTCTCATGGAAAAAGAAAAAAAGGCCCTGAAGCCACACGTGCAGCAGAGCCTGCTCCCACTCTTCTTCCACTGCCAGGATAAGAATCGGCGTGTGGCAGAGGTGAGGACTGGTGGGCTGCTGGTGTCCCCCTGGGAGGGGGCTTGGCTGCCTCCTGCTCTGGTGCCTGGCGGGCTGCAGCCTCCTCCCAGCCTTGGCACAGGGAGACGAGTCCTGTGCTCTGGGCTGTGGGGCCATCTCTGCTGCTCTCCAGGCCTCTCGGAAAACACTGGTTTGGGTGGCCAAGTTCCTGAAGAGAAGCGATCTTGAAAGACTGGTGGAGAAGAAGAAGCTGTGGATGTTCGCCGACTGCCTGGTAAGGAGGGTCTGGAAGCGCCAGGCTCAGCCTGGAGAAGCCCCCTGAGCGCGGTGCTCACTGTGTGCGCTTGGCAGCTGTGGCCCTGCCCAGTGCTGCACGCAGGAGCCGCACGGGCTCTTCTCCAGGCTCCTGTGGGCCCGAGCCGGGTGCC